TTAATAAACAACTCATATAGAAAAATAGCGATTTTAATGGATCGCTATCTTTCTATATGAATTGTTTATTAGGTGGGCGGGGTTTGGAGTTAAGGGGCGGAGCTTCTTCTTAACTTCTTCTTCGAAGTTTAATTTATCCATCCATCAAGTTAGAGGGTGACTGCATTCAATTTCAATTTCATTCTAATTCATTTTTCACTGGTAGTTTCAACCGCTCTTATCTATGGAATTTTAGGGTAAGTAGGATACACAGAGTGCACGTAAGCATTAATTCAAAAACTCTGAAAGAGACAAATAGGTCTTCTCTCCTGTAATCGTGATATCTCTTCCTGACATTTCGACTGCCGTAAAAGATAATTTCTTGTGACATTGGATGTGCAGTGATGTGATACTGTTGGCTGACTAGATTGAAGTTTTTTTAGAGCTAAATCTTACGGGAAAATTGTAAAGCCAGAGGCGCAGTTAATGCGGTCACGTGGACACTTCACTTGCGATCAATCCATTGTTTTCTTTAATAACCCGGAATTCTCTTCAAGTCAAATGTCTTCATCTGTTGATCAGAACAAATGATTCCTTGCGAGACGTTCATATTACAGGGCTTTTGTCGAAAAGAAATCATCTAAAACGATCCAGTCGTTTCTTTGCTCGCCTTGACGAGAGCGGCCATGAGGCAGCCAGCTGTAATATTGGTGGGGGAAAGCAACTCCTCCTGAGATTCGTTTCCCGAGTCTTCTCTGCGTCGATGAGCGTGTTCGATAAGGTAGATTTTACGAACTCCCCGTTTTTTAAAAATTCTCTCGGTAGTATGACTAATTTGATATTAGGCATCAAGTACAACATGAATTTATTTGTCCAGTTAGACGTCGATGCCCGTGAGTTTCTTCAAAGACAGTGGAAGCAGAATACCCCTCCAGAGGGATGGGTAGATGCTTTTGCGTCATAGGATATGGTTTTGTTCAAAGCACTTTTTCGCTTCTGTTTGTATATTGAAGTCAGAGTCATAAGCTAAATCTAAATATTTTTTCTACTCGATTAACTTTATTGAGAGACTAGCTAATAATCGGTTACTTATTTACTCGCGTGGGTTTCGATAAGCGTGAAAGTATTGCAGTAAATATCCATTTATCTTTTTTTGCTTATTTTACTCCTTGGGAAGTTAATCTGGTTGCCCCAGCAAGTGTTCGATGTGGTTGTTGAGAATAATTAGGAATCTTTCTTGGCCTGAACGCGGTATGAAGGCTCTATAACAGGTAAATGCTCATGTGCTCTAATATGATTTAATTCTGATTGTTCCATCAATCGTTGTGAAGAACTCTATGCCACTATTGTCACGGCGATGTGAAATCGATCGCGTGAGCTCATGTATTGACAACTGGCTTTACTCTGTGCTTAGTTGAATTGTGCCGCTTCTTCTTGCAATGCTATCGTCGCTTGGTGGCATTAGCTTGACAAGCGTTCCTGACGCAGTTATGCTCGAGACCGATAATTTGTTTCCATCATCCTTTCATCTTAAATTAGGAGCACATGTTTTGTTTTACACATTCTCTCCTTCCTGATCCGTCATCATTTTTCCCATGGTTTCTTTAAGCTCTCGCCATTTTTCAACTTTACCAAAAGACCAGTTGTAAGATTTGTGGAAACTGCTTTTGAGCAAGTTTTGAACCTAAGGAAAACACTCATTCAAGGAACTGACGGCATTACGACTCCGTGGTGATGCTGCAACCAATGGCATGCAACATTGTAAAATAGACCAGTTTAAGGGTTGAAGGTTTTATGTGTGGAAATTTTGCTTTTGATTTTACAGTGAAATTCAAATTTTCTATTCTGATAATCGATCTTGCACAAAAAAACGCTTTTTCATCTCATTGAACTTATTGTTAGCGACGTGCATTCTGTCCCAGGTTATCGAAATGGCACTTCACGGGTTGCTAATGTTTGTCAGAGATAGTCCTCACATCTTTATGCAGTATAGTTTTCGATTTACATCTTTTAAACTTGATTTCCAACACCGACCTAACGTGGTGCTGTTGTTTGAGCACCCTCCAAGTCAAAAAAAAAATGAACAAAACAAAACACACGAAACAAATCCATACAGCGGCTGCTCGATAACTCCTCATAGTACCCACCAGTCGGACTAACCGCGCAGTGCAAAGGGTATTCGGTGTAAATCGGTAGTTACGCCTTGAATTGGAAGTATCAATCCTTTGCTTTTGTTTTTGAAGTAAATACCCACTCAAAGCTCAACTGGTAGGCAAGCAAAGCCTTGGGTTCGCTCACAAATGTTTCTAGTGATGATAACACCATTATCAGATAAGTTATCAATGGACCTTTTTCTTTAGAAAATATCATTACTTGAGAATTGCGGATTACTGGCGATCGGTTGAGTTTTGTCGCGGATGTTTTCAAACAAAGAGTATCCTTCATTGAGTCACAAACGTTGCTGGGTAGCGGTCGTAATCTAATGGCAAGAAATGAACAATATTTCCATCTGCTTATCGTCCCTAGCACTGCCCTTACCGTTCACTTTTGTCACCTTTACCTTTACCAACCTAGTGGCTCTAGCCTTCTGGGCTCTTTGTCAGCCCTTGTCCGCTTCTTATCAGTCCTTGTCACCAATCACCTTAGGTCCCTTCACATCCCACATCACGTGCTAAAGTGCTTCACTGTAACATAAAAGACGTTGTAGACCCGATGGCTCT